ACGCTTTTTGATATACGTATTCGGAATGGAACGCAACGAAAGAGATACATGTACTTCAGAAGTCTTTATAAAACAACAAAGGTTGTAACATGTGTAAATCGTCCCCAATATAGAGTAAAGATGTACAGGATGTAAATAATATTAATAGAAATAAAAAAATAATAATAGTTAAATGTTGCATTTAGTGGGCTTGATCTTTTGAAAGCATTGTTTCTAATAAAGTTCACATAACAATATCACAGATTATGGTACCTCCTGTTGAAAAAAACATATATCAGATAAAAATCGTACGGAATACCAGCTGTTAATAATTGATGAATATTCAGATGTCCATGGGATTAATCAAGAACTATTTGATAAGAGGAAGTTGGTACAATTTAAGAAAGACTGTGTTTTGAATGAAAACAAAACAAGACAAGGGGTTTAGCACACACTACAATAGATGAAATATACGTTTGTTTCTATTAAATAATCGAACGTTCAATCGCAATGATTCGGCGAATTTTGTATGACCTGTGACTTAGACAATAGGAAAGTGTGATATAGGAGAATAACAAAAAATAACGAACCAAAAGGAAAATTAGTAACGGGAAAGTCCACGAAAACTGATAAAATATATCGTTATCAATCAACAGAAAAAGTGTTATGTAACTCTGATATATCTGACTTGGTGCAGGCATTGACCAAGGAACATAAAGGGCTTACACTGCTTTAATAGCAAGCTAAAACTCCAAATTTATGACGGTTACCGCAGTTAAGTGTGATATTTTAAACAGATCGTGTTTTGTTGTATAAGATGTGAGCAAACAGTCTTACCAAAACCGATGTGTATCCAGTATTTTTACTGCATAAAATTTTTTTGAACAACAATTCGAAAAATTTAAAGCTTAATAAAAAAAGATCGCCAAAAAAGAGTTGTGGCAGATTTTTAACTTCTGCATTTAAATTAAGAATTTTCATAGTCTCAAGCAAACATTTCAAATACAGGCATTGTACAGGTTAAGGTAATTTACATGTGTTTATCTAATTAACGTTTACGTTACACATATTACACTATCTTAAATTAATATAAGTTAATTGCTTTTTAAAGTCTTCTTGGAAGTTTTCATGCATATTCAGAACAAATTAACAAAAAAACAACTAGCTACATTCTGAAAGGTATGTCGACCTACATAAAGAACATAAAACCTTTTCAGTGATCACTTTGTTAAAAATATTGCCTTGAAAAATGCTACCATTCCAATCAGAGAGTCGTTGCAATTGTTGTCTGTCGTGCATAGAGCATGGTACTCGTCGTAGTTGTTTGCAATGGATGTAATTTCCACATTGTAACCAAAGATAGCTACATTAATAAATATTTGGTAGAGCCAAATATATGTCTTATTTAAGCAAGGGTTTTGCTACATGCATATGACGGGAGCGGTCCATGAATGATCATAGGTACATGTATATACAATGTTTAACGTGTGTGTTTTTGTTTTACTTATGAATAAAGATATATATAACATTCACAAATTTTTATTGACAAATAATTCAAACAAAACCCAAAGTTAGTAATGTTTTGGTCAAAATTTCAGTGAAAACATATATAAACAATGCGAAAAGTATATGCTATTTATTGTTGAAACAATCTGAAAGCCTTGAAATTTACCATTTATCTTAAAAAAATAAAGACTGGGTGTAAAAATCATTCGTTGCAAATATAATTTTACGTAGTTAATTTAAAAATTGTAAAAAGATATGGTACAAATATTTTTTACATTGTAACAAAAAATAATAATGAAAATAACTGCTTCAGCTCATTAATGATCTAATTTGTTTAATTTCATATTTTTATGGTTTTTTATCAATAAGCTTTTGATGTCTACATTTTGGTATTCTTCTACTCCCATCTTTGTTAACGCAAAACTTAGAAAAATCGGAACCTGTGTGGTCTATAAAACAGTTATGAGTGTCCGAGCTATGTGCTGGAAACTTCCTTCTGTTTTCTGAAGACGATTTTATTGTATCTTTAGGATCTTCCTCCTTTTTTGTCTGTAAAGGACTGAGTTCTTCTAACATTATTGATCTTTCATTTCCTGATAATATGTAGGTACTTGCTTTTGGTTTATTTAACAACCCTGATAGGCAGTATAATATGAGGGTTAAGATAATTCCTGTCGAAAATCCTACTGTACCAACCAAAGCCTTTTTCGATTTAGGAGTTTTCGTTTTTAATTGATGTACCTTACATTTGCACTCTGAATATTCAATGTCCATACAACCCTAAAAAATAAAGGAATAGATATCTATAGTATCAAGTATTCCCAGCTGTACTTAATGAAAATTATACATTGCAAAATGTAGGAAATAGTACCGCAGAAGTTTAAATTCCAATATTTCACTGCTTCAAAATTATTTTATTGAGTAGCTAAATATTACAAAAGTAAACAGATATTCAGCTTTTATCAAATATATGCAAGAATGTAATAAAAAAAACGATTTTGAAAGAATCACATACGACAGAAATTTTAACACATTTGCTTTAACCAACTCGAGTATCCAATAAACGTATTAACGGTCTGCCTTACAACGCATACACAGAATTTGTCAGTGGTTGCTAAACATGTAAAAATAACAACGCAAGTCTACAAAGCATTGATTAAAATTTTGATGGCTCAGTTGTTTAAGTTACATCCTGTTTTTGAACAACGATGTCAGTTAAAAGATGATTCAAATATTTCTAACACATGCGTGAAATCATTCAAAACATTTGTCTTACATTTATCAAAAGCAAACAAAAGCATTTGAAAAACAATATGGTACAAGAGCAAGAAGTAAGAAGTGGCATGCTATCTCAAAAATAAACATGAACTACCTGTTGAACTCAAATTGGAAAGCATTTCTCCCATTTCTATAAGATGTGATATGATTGCAAATGAGACAACACTTCATAAGAGACCAAATGACACAGAAACTAACAAGTATAGATCACCGTACGGCATTCAAAAATGAGCAAAGCCCATACCACATAGTCTGCTATTAAAGGCCCCAAAATGACAAATGTAAAAACAATTCAAACGAGGAAGCTGACGGCCTAGTTAACGTATAAAATAATGACTTTGGACAGGCAAAACATACAAAATGTGGCGGGGATGAAAATGTGGCGAGGATGAAAATGTTAGCGAGATACCAACTCTTCACCTAACATTGGGCAGTGGTGTAACAGTACAACATAAGAACGAACTATCAAAATCAGCTAAAGGCTTAACTCAAATTGTACAATTAGAAATACATCTAACTCCAACACAGAGTGAACGTTGCAGGGTACTTGTACATACCAACAACAAAAATACACTAAGTACATATCTGAGAGTACTCGCAGTTAATGACAACTAGAAGTTCTAAGCCCATTACAACTTATAAAAATATTATGCATCTAAGACTAAATCAGACCTGTACTATATAATTTTTTGAACTTACCATTGTTCTATTGATAATTTCGTATTCACATTTGTCTCCATACCAATAACCTAAACAATCACATGTGTATCCAAACAACTGAGATGTACACACACCATCATGTAAACAAGGGCTTGATAAGCAATGATTGGTTTCTAAACCCCCAAAAAAAGAAACATTCTGATTACCTTAATAATTGTTTTGAAATCAAACAGTTGTTATGCTGTAGATTTCTATTTAAAGACAAATTTAAATCACAACAATGAAGGATATGCAAACATATACATCTAAATTTGGTTCTTGTATTCTATCGTTCGTGAAGGTATTGCTTTTATCGACTTTTGTGTTTGAATTAAGCTATTGATGTTGTCCAATTTGTTATCTCTATTTTGAAAAGCCATAATTACAAATGAATAGGGTCAATAAATAAGAGATAAGCAAACTGAAATTATTAGAGATATTTAGTACAAATAACTTAACTATATCCTTGTCCTTCTTGCAAAGCAATAACGAAATCATAACAACTATGTTTTTCAAGAAGCTTGTTAAATGAAAATCTGTTCAATGAACGTTTAAATTTTTATTTGAATTTTTCCTAAAGATTTGTTTGGCGTTTAAGTGAATCACGTGCAGAAATTGTCTAAATACAAATGAATAATTGTCCTATGGTAGAAAAGATTAAAACTGGTCAAATGAATCATACAAATAACATAGAATGTGTGGTCTCTATCAATATGCTATCTATCTTGTTTAAATGTTTTTAAACATAAACAAACTGATGAGCAAATGTCTACCTCCGTTCTGTATATAAGATAAGCAACATGTTTGAAACATGATAAATTCTGAGGTGTCCCACCATGAGTCACCCCTTGTTTCTTTTGACATAAAGATATACTTTAATATAAATCTATGTACAGATCGTTGCTCTCCTTGGGAAGTTCATGCGATTTCAACTATTTTCATTTTCACACTTCTTAACTAGATAAGTTCAAATCTACTTAATATTTATCAAGTTGTAGTTATACATTTAATATATATATATAAACGAAAATGTGGAATGATTGCCAAAGAGATAACTCTCAAATAATGACATAATGACATAAAAATTAACAACTATAGGTCATCGTACGGCCTTCGACAATGAGCAAAGCTCATACATCATAGTCAGTTATAAAAGGATCCGAAGTGACAAATGTAAAAGAATTCAATCGTGAAAAACTAGCAGCCAAATGTTTGTACAAAATAATGAACGAAAACAAAAAGATAACATAGCAACAAACGACAACCACTAAATCACAAGTTCCTGACTTGAGAAAGTCAAATACAGAATTTGGTGGGTTTATAAATGTTAGCAGGCACCAAACCCTCCTATAACCTGAGACAGTGGTGAAACATTACAACCTAATAACAAACTATAAAAATAGTTAAAAAAAAAAGAAACTTATCAGATGGATACAAAATACACTTAAAAAAACACAGGTTATCAATAAAATAACACCTTGTTACGATTTATACCCCTTTATTTAAACGTACTTTGTTCACAATGCTGTCCTGATGATTCATTTGCACAAAGACAAGAGTAACCATTCACCATGTCTATTTCTTGTACCATTATTTTTGCATGGGTCACTCTTGCATTCATCTAGTTCTGTTTTCAAAAAAGAAGTTATACAGTTATAAAGTAAAATATATGATATGTTAATTTGAATTTTATTGCATGCATTTAGGTATAGATTATTTAATAATATAATATCAAATGTTAAATACAATTTTGCAAACAAGGATGAGCACAGATGTAAATAACTGGATAAGTTGCTATAGTCCAAATATTTCTTTATGCTTATTTCATTAGGGTAAATATCACTTTTACACTTACCGACATTTATTAAAGATTTCCTTGTATCTTTAAAACGTTAACTGTGACTGATGGTTAGGGCACATAAGGTTTATAGTTACTGCATTTCTTGAAGTTTCTATCAAAATCTTTCAAAGTTTTAGATGAAATTGTAGACACATATTTATCTTGGAATGGCAAATGAAAAAAAGAAATATAATAATTCTAAATAATTATATATTAAAATTACGATACGACCCTACAAATCATTTTCAATAAACAACACATTTAACTTGTTCTTTTAATTTCATGATACAAAACAACATTTTGAGGTATACAATATTTTCAGTTTAATCTTCGTCAATCTTAATTTGGTTTATCTCAATTATTCATTTCATGTCAATGATAAAGGACAAATATATTATTATTAACATTCAAAATTAATCATGTGCCAACACATACCTGTTTGACACTGCTTCCCAAAAAATCCTGGTAAATACGAACAGTTCCATCCTTGTACCTTATCGATACATGTTGCTCAAACATTCATTGACATCTACAACATGTACAAGGCATAATAACAATAAAAACAAAAAACGATAACAATATTGTTTTGTCATATTTTTTGTTCGTATTTTGTTTTGCTTTTGATTTGAACTATTTTACACTTTGTCAAGTCGGAAATTTATAGCTGACTATCCAGTAGAAGTACTGCTCATTTTCCAAGGCCTTATAGTAATCTCAAATAACTTATTTTCACGTCATGAAGACTTGGTTAATATGAGTCTCATTCATGATAACACTGCACTTCACGTTCATATATTTATCATGTAATGGTTTTTCAGCTAGCAATAAATTTTCAAAAAATCACAAAAAGTATAATTTTTACTAAAAATGACGCATGGAAATAAAACCTTTGAAATACCTCTTAATTTTTTTTCGCCGAATAAACAAATTGGGAATAAATATGAAATTAACACTGTAAAAAGTCGAACAAGTTTTTATTTGTTCAAATACATTTTGAAATTGGCTATTGTACCAACATATTTTTTTTTTTGAATTTTGGCAAGTTTTGAGATGAGCTTATGTTACACCGTTGTGAACATATAGGACGTTTAACTAAATACTGACCCGTTATATATAATAGATAGGTTTAATACGTCCATATGACTGGATTTAAGTTGTTATTGGTTACGGTATGACAATGAGAAAGACCAATATCGTAAAAGAGAGGGAAAAGATACCAGAGGGACATTAAACCGTTTGTCCTGTCCACATTATAAATATCAATCGAGCTTCATTCAAAATGTGCTTTAGTAAACGCTTTTACAGCCAAATAAAATTACAAAAAGAAGCATTTAATTCTTAGGTAAAGCATTTCTCGTGCTTAACAGAAATTACCAAAAATAGACAAGGATTAGTTTTACTGTGTGTATGCGCTTTATTTAACGTAACCCCATTAGACATGTTTCATAAATTATTTATTACCATGGTTTTTCAAATGTGTAAATGAGATTCATATATTAAGCAAATAACAACGATAAACCAGTTATAACTAAGGATAGTTTCTGTTTGTAATTGCTGTTAAACCAGGTAAAAATTAAGTAAATTTAAAAGTGTTTAACCTCTTTGGTAAGTTGTGTTTGATACTTAACCAATGAAATTAAATATCTAAAACTGGAAACATATCATTTATAATCATGCAAATATTACCTGTCTTACAGTTTTGACCAACAAACCCGTGTTGACAAGTACATACAAACGAATTAGCCATATCACTACACGTTCCGCCATTCAAACAGGTATTGCTAAAACATTCATTTATATCTGGAAATAGAATAGAAGAAGATATAGCAGTCAATCCCTGATTAATTAAAAGCAATATTTTAAACATTAATAAAACGTTTAGTATAATGAATAGCTTATCATAATCAAACATCTTCTTATTTCGACGATGAACATAGAATGACACACATGCAAATAAAAAAATCTGTCTGAAAAGGAGCACGAGGGATAAAAACCCTCAAAATTTCACAAACATAAGTTAGTAAACAAAACTGTCATAAATGGTAGTTTACTCCTAAATTAATTTCAGATACGTTCATGAAATAAGGCAGCATGGTGTAAGATAAATACTTGAAGAAAATTCTCAGACTATCTATTCCTCTTAATCCGTAAGATTTTTATATACAGATAAATGAAACAGAATGACACTTAAATCAACAGCGGCTCACAATGTGGTTATCAAAGGCTACGGGGCGGAGTTTCACAACTGACTTAAGACATTTCAGCTCTGATATAGTTTCCACAATAGTATTACAAATCATGTCATAATGCCTTGCTATATTCCTGTTTACCACATGTTTTATAATATTCTGACTGAAATCGATGTTCAATCATGTGTGTATAGCAGTATATCCTTAAGTTGTCATTATGTCTGTTTTAAGTTACTTAGAGCTCAGCCTATGGATTATATTGTCTTTCTTTTTTAACACTAATAGCATCTTTATTGCACTTCTTGCTGTTTTGTTTTCTTTAGATGAACAAAATTCCAAAAATTCGAGCTTTTTGTTTCATCTTATTTGAATTAAAGACTAAACACCAGCGAAACAACAGTTGGCCATAAATTTGGACATATAAATGTACGTACACAAATGACGGTATTAAGCTAGTTTGTTTGTAGATACAAATTTTGGTATTTAATAAAATTTTATAAATGCCTCCACCATCATAGAAATATGTCTTTCATTCTGAATATATTTTACGGAATGGACATTTCATAAAAGAATACATTCAAGATAATTTAATTGAACATTACAATGGAAGAAGTATAAGATAAGACAAATACGTGTAGTATCTGCAACAATCATAACTTGGAAAGACGAAGTACAGAACAGATGTGTGTTTTTCATCAACTAACCTATTTCACAGTTGTGTCCTCTGTATCCTTTACTACAATGACATCTAAAGTCATTTACCAGATCAACACAATGTCCTGTATGTTGACAGGGAGAACTTGCACACTCACCAATGTCTGAAATCATTTTTAGTGAACTGTATATATATCATATTACATTTTTTATGATCTGAGGTAGTAGTCTTAGTAGTAGTTAAATTTATAATATTACTGTTTTTTTTTTAATTAAAAACAGTAATATCTTAAACCGTTATAACCCTAAGTTATTGTCAGATCAAGTTAAAAAACAAATGATTAAAGATCCATGTTGTTATTTTGGTATTTAGTGAAGCCTTTACATAAAGAACTTTTCAACTCAGATTATGACAACAGATGAATTGATAATTAATTGTATAAGGTTGATTTCCATCCGATGCAGATTACGGGTTCCACATGTGGAACAGGATCTGTTTACCCTTCCAGAGCACCTGAGATCAACCCGTTTTTGGTGGATTCGTGTTGCTTAGTCTTTAGTGTTCTATGTTGTGTCTTGTGTACTACTATTTGTCTGTTTGTCTCTTTATTTTTTAGCCATAGCGTTGTCAGTTTATTTTCGATCTATGAGTTTGGTTGTCCCTCTTGTATCTTTCGCCCCTCTTTCGTATTTACAAAAAGGACTCAACCAAACTCACAATAATGTAAAGACGTATATAGCTAGTGAATTAATCAATTAAGTATTATACATTTCCAGCTGTCAAGCCGTTAGTATATGTGCCTGGCGATTGTCATTGGAGAAAAGCGCGTCGGAAGGACAAAACTATGTAAGTGTTATTGTCGTTTTATGACGCACTGATGGCAATAATAATCTTACATCTTACGCATGTTTTCTTATCTACATATCCACAACATTTGTCTGGTATTGTTGTTTTGTTTCCAATACAATAAAATTTTGGTAATATGACTTGTATGTCTTAATTGTTTTTTAATTTGATTGATGATTACCTGTTTGGCAGTTGTCTCCATTGTAACCAGGTAAGCAGGAACAGTTATATAAGTCCACTGAGTCTGCACATGTACCTGCATGCATGCAAGGATGACTGGCACATTCGTCAACATCTGATACATTTCAAAACAAATCAGTTAATGACAAAACACGCTTTTTATGGCGTGGTATATGGTCAAGACATATATATATATATATATATTCTAATAACAACACTATTGCATACATTATGAGTACAACATGTAAAGAACAAGCAAAAACTCCACCTTATGTGTGTTTGTCAGAGAAAGGCCATATTGTAAGTGGTTGCTTTTTAATTCGTTGCCTATTCTTAAATCCTATGTTAATGTGATATCGTCTATAATCTCTAACTAGTTAATTCGTACTATTTTTCATTCTACGGTGATTTAAAATTCACCATATGGTTTGAATGCCCTGTCTAATTACCGAAGATAAAGATATGGTTTTACTTATTGGTCACCTGAACCTTTTGATTGTTTCACTGTAAGTGTTACCGTACATACTTTTCAACTGTTGGTGTTACCGTACATACTTTTCTGTTCACGCAATAGCAATATCATACCCGTTTGACAGTTGTTTCCTGTATATCCCGGTGCACATGTACAATTATAGTAATTGACCTCATCTGAGCATGTGCCACCATTCAAACACGGATTAATCGCACATTCATCTTTATCTGGAATTGAGTGACTATTTAATTGATCATATATAAAATGCCACAAAATGAAAAAGATAAAGAGTGAAAAGCTATTAATTTAGGCAAGGGATTGGTAACAATCTAAATAGAGCATTTCCGAAAGTCTCAAATTACTTTATACATGTAAAGAGATATATGGTTATCTCAATATCCAAACCAAAAACGGAAAAGGAATGGAAAATAATAGATAATGTAATATGATAATTTTTAAAGAACATTCAATATGTATTGATTTCTTATGTTTTTAAATTAATTTTGCGACAATGAGATTTATTTCGTATAATCGAATTTTTTTTTTATATATATATAATTTTTGGAGGATTCGTCTACAATTAAAATAATCTGTTGATTTAATAGGTGACTTATTAAAAAGTAACCAACCATTAAAGTACACTGCCAAATCTTCATCTATTTTTCCGTCCCCATCATTATCTACGAAAAAAAGTGTAATCAATAATTCATTTTAAAAATCTATGAAAAAATGTGAATTCATCTTAATACATGCAAAGTTGTTATGCCTTGTTAACATACAATATTCAAATGATGTTTACAACTCGAGGCATAAATTATCTGGTACTCAAATAACATGAATAAAGAACCACACAATTAAGGATTAACACAGATACATATAAGATCAAATATTTTAAATGTAAACTTACAAAGCCTATTTTAATTCCCACAATGTACAGTCTGAAACACTAAATTGAAAATATTAGTAATTACTTAAATACCAACCCCTTTACAACCCTGTTTTAATTTCGTTATAACTGAATTGCATGTACATTGCTAAACAATTCAAAAAGCGCTACATACTCAATGTACTTGATCAATTTCCCTTTCAAGATTATACACATCTTATTTATTGATGATCTATAAAAGAAATCAATGAAACAATTGAGTATCCATAAATATCTTTGACATACCATTGTTTCAGTGCAATTAATACATTTAAATTTATGGTGCCGATTTGGAAAAAAAATAACACCTGAACAAAGAACCAAGTTAGCATTACATCATACATGTCATACTTCTCCTTATACATTACCTGTCCCATCTTTAAGCTCCTCGTCTATCAGACCATCGCAATCATTGTCAACAATGTCACCTGGTACAGTCAAACTTAAATTGCAGTTCTAAAAAGGGAAAATAATTATTAACAGGTTTAAATTGTGAATAAAGGGACGGAGATTGGATGTATTAACTAATTCGCCTATAGTTAAATCATTTCATTTTATTTGAGAATCAGCTATATTTCAATAATTATAAAAGACAAATTACTAGTAATTCATTTAAAGAACATTGCAGTAGCTCCATTGACGTGCAAATTCCATAATTATTTAACCAGTTTCCCAATAAAATTTCAAACCTAGTATAGAATATACCAGTGGATTGATGTAAAAATTGAACTCACATATAAAACAGCACGGTCATTATCTGTTTTCCATAGGCTAATGATAGTAATAAACCTCAGTATGTATTCATTTATAGAATCATATTAAAATAAGTTTATTTTTTCACGACTATGTCAAAAAAATACTTATTAGATATAAGAAGATGTGGTATGAGTGCCAATGAGACAACTCTCCATCCAAGTCAAAATTTATAAAAGTAAACCATTATAGGTCACAGTACGGTCTTCAACACGGAGCCTTGGCTCACACCGAACAGTAAGCTATAAAGGGCCCCAAAAAATTACTAGTGTCAAACCATTCAAACGGGAAAACCAACGGTCTAATCTATAAAAAAAACGAGAAACGAGAAACACTTATGAACCACATCAACAAACGACAACTACTGAACATCAGATTCCTGACTTAGGACAGGTGCAAACAAATGCAGCGGGTTTAAACGTTTTAATGGTACCAAACCTTCACCCTTTTTCCTGAAACAATAGTGTAACATCACAACATAGAAAGACACACTATAAAATATCAACTGAAATAGCTTAACTCAATCAAAGGACATATTAACACCATTGAACATACACTGAACAAATAAATTTGACCTATGACACAATGTAAATACAAAATAAATAAACTAAGGGAAGAATAATAAATTATTACCGGTTCATCCTTCAAAAACTTTTCACTGGATATCAATCTTCAATGGAAGCAAACATATTCACGCATAAACACTATTAATCGGTTTGTAGTTTCAAAACTTATTAGCAAGATAATTGTCAGGAAGAATATTTCCCTGTCGTTTTTTTTTCGTCACCCGAAAATTTTAAAAGATTTTTAAACTTTGCATTGACCGTATAGCATTTGTGAAATACCGTCACTGACTGTAAATCAACTTGTTCACCAATATATCAAAATGCTTTTTCATAGAATTTAATTTATTACATCAATTTGGATTAAAGGCTCGCTGATACATTACATCGTCCGCTGCAAATTAAAAATTTATCAAACATTTATCTTTTGGAATAGTTGTAAGCGATGTAGTGAAAAGAGATCAACCATGTGTTATGTTAAAATATATACCAGTTTCTTCTGTTTAACAACAGTTATTTGCTTTTCTTGACATCGACTATTGCTCTCCATGTATGTCTCAGAAGACAATAAACGTGCAAGTTTTCTTACAACAATGCCTATATATGACACAAGAAAAGATGTTTGTGTTTAATATATCTATGACGAGTTTATTTTACACTTACACTATTTATAGGAGCTAAACGTTGTCCAGCAATATATCCGTACGAGTTGTATTTAGCTGTCCCTGTCGAAACAACTATGAACGTAACTGTTGGGTTATTATGAAAGATAGTATGAGGTCCGTCTACTATATTCACTTTGGTAATTTGAAGGGTACTACTTCCTTGTACCTTTTGCCAATGATAGGAAGTCATTGGATGTCCATCTAGTGATAGTCCATTAATTTCTGTAGCAGTAATCACAACTGTTAGAGCATTTTGAAATGGATTCCCGGGAGTCTTAATGGTTGAAAACGTATAGTCTGCCGCGAATTGTTTTATGGGAGGCAGTAAGATCATAGCAGGATCTCCTTGGTCTGAGCCACAACCTCCCTCTGCAAAGAATGCTAACGCAACAGGTTTATCTGCCACAATAGTTCTTGACGTTTGATCAGTAATTTGAAATGTATGTACATCTCCAGCTGTGGGTAAATGAACTGCTGCTCTCCCATTTATATTAATATTAGTATTGCTGCTACTTGTCACAACTTTAAAATCAACAGGTACATTACAATTCGGCATATTTATAGATACAAATTGTTTACCAAATGTGTCTACTGATGTCAGTTGTGAGCATAGATGATCACATGCCCCAGCACCTATATTACTACACTGGCTACCACTTATCATCGTTATTCTTTTATTGGATTTAACATACGTTCCTGAAAAATCTGAGACTTCTCCACCTAAGACGTGAAACGACTCATAAGTTTTCATCGGGAGTGTTAACGTCATGCCGGGGGCATATGTAACACCTTTATATATGATGGGTGTCGCCGCTTTACCGGTTGTGAAATGAACGACTGTGTTGTCCATGGTTGCAATTATCATAAATGCAGACCGCACCTTCCATGTTAAAATATAATACACTTTTCCAATGACATCAATAGGGAAAACGACATATGCATCTGTTGTCTCTTTTTCTTTATTGACAGTATATACTGTAATTTCAGCATCGGCTTGAATGTTAATACCTTTGTTGCTTAATTCCGTGCCAATCCCGCGCAAATTCCAGTTAAATGTTTCCGTAGAGATTACGTTTTTATTTACGCTTAGTTGTCGTAAATATGTTGAATCAAACAGAGGCGTTGTTATAGTAACACTGACCGCATGAAAGTTGTCCGTTGTTATAAAAACCTGTAAGGTGGCTGAATTATAATTGTCCATGAAGCCAAAAATAAAATGTCTACCTTTGTTGTCTTTTCCTACAATATACATAAGGTAGTGTAACCGTAGAAAAAACCCTGTCTCTACTTTATGCAGTAATATATAAGTTGTTTTTCAAAATTTTCAGTTAATCTAGATTGGAAAGTCCCTAATAGAAAGTAGAAGGTCCTTTTCTTGATTTTGATATTTCAGATTCACAAATGAATGTATTTATTAGGTCTTTCCACTTTTTGATGGAAAGACCTATTGTATTTGTTTTGATTATTAGGTCTTTCCACTTTTCGGTGGAAAGACCTATTGTATTTGTTCTGATTATTAGGTATTTCCACTTTTCAGTGGAAAGACCTATTGTATTTGTTCTGATTATTATTATTTTCTTCCGCCAAATTTTGTTCTCGCGTAAAATTTTTGTTTCGCAATATGTCGCTAAGATATTTCTTAAATAGTATCATACAGTTTATGCGCTTTTTATTTTCACCCATACTAAGCCGAACATTTTTCTTTGTAAGAGTTATCTCCCCGAACACTGTTTTCCTTGTGACTACATCTCCTCCGTAACCGTTAAAGAAAGCAACAATTTTTTTTTTATAAAATTGCTCGTTATATCCTTCGCATGATTTGTCCTATTTTGACCGAAGCGATATAAGCACTCCATATGAGAGTTATTTCCCCTTTTGTATTTGATATAAGTGATATGCATTTCTATCTTGTAAACCATAAGTGATAGAGACCAAGGATCTTTTGATTTGAGGTCCTTGGTAAAAATAATAAAAATTAGGTCAAGATCAAAGGTCAAGGTCATATTCTAAATTTTGATTTTGGCTTATTTTCACTTATTTCCAAAAACCGTATAAGATATCGACAAATTAGTTTTACTAAACTGTTAGTTGCGACATGTCGTAACATGTAAATTTTGATTGCAAGGGTACGTTGGACGTAAAAGGGAGTTTTCTCCCCTCTTGTATTTAAAAATACACGTATGGTGATATAACTCATTAAATATAATAAAGACCTATAGTCATTTGATTTGAGGTCCTTGGTTTATGACCTTGAAATTGATCTCAAGGTCATAGCTTAATTTGACGTTCTAGATTTTGACCCTCACTTTTACCTCATATGT